GGTTTCCAGAGCGGAGCTCAGGGAGAGAGACAGGGTGGGGCTGTGGGTGTCCACACCTGACTGGCTGCAAAGTGTGAAAATCAAAGTTACACCCGCCTGGCCAGGATGCTGGTCATCTGGCTGCACATGCAGAGTGAGGGGTCTCTGTGGGCCCCTGCTCTCTCTGTAGGGACCCCTCTTATAGTACCCATCGTGCAGCATATTCTCCAGATAGGCTGGGACCTCTGGTCTCAAGTACAGAGGTGGTGCCACCTCCTCTTAGTTCCCTCCTTAGATGGGGGTCCCAGTTCCAAGTGAGCCCATGCAGGGACAGCAGTAGCAGTGTGAGCCTGTGGAAGTGGAGGATGCCTGTCCCACCTAATGGCATTCAGATTCCCAGTATTCGCAAAACCCTGTGCTGGTTTGTGACTCCTGATTCCAACCTTTAGCATAACAATTCTCATGTGGAGGGGCTGCCAGAATGGGCTGAGTGTGCGTGGGGGGAGGAGTTCAAACCAGCCTCCATGTTCTGAAATGTCCCCCCTCTGACCCCGTTGCTCCACTGCTCCCACCCCAGTCTGGATTAAGTGCCTCCTCTGGGGTCCCAAAATATCCAGGCCATCTCATTACCCCAACCACATTGTATGATAATCTGTGGAAGGGTCTGGGTTCATCTCGGCCATCAGTCAGCCCCTGGAGGCAGGAGTTATATTTTATCTACTCCTCTACCCCCAGGGCCTGGCACACAGTAGTTTATTGAATGAAGTGGGGTCCAGGTGTGGCCCCCGGCTCATAGTGCACATATGAGAGCCTGGTGAAAGGTTGGCTTCAGTGCCCCTCCCTGCCTGTTAGTCATCTGGACAGACCACACAGGGCAGTGGGCTTCAGATGGCCCCTGGGAAGATGCTGGATATTCTCTAGGAGAGCAAGGAGGGCCAGAAAGGCTCCTCACTTTAGCATATGAGTGCTATATAGGGAAGACCCTGGGAGCCTGATTACCCAGAGTGGAGGACGGCTGGGGAGTGGAGCAGAGTAAGGGAGGGGACTTAGTGACTGTCAGGGGCAACCAAGGGCCATAGAGCAGGTGGAGCACCAGACAGGTGCTGGGAGGTGAGATGCTGTAACAACAGCCCAGGTGACCTGATCAACTCTTTGTCTTGTGGACCTGGTTAGCAAGAATGTGCTTGTGCGTCAGGAGGACCATCTATTTCAGGGATGACAAAACTGCTTCTGGCCCTTTGAGCCCTCAGGCTTGGCCTGGAGCTGGTGTCCTCACAGCCCCACACTCTGCCGGCTCCTTGGCAGGAGTGTGCTTCTGCCAGGTGCAAGTGTGGGTGGGGGCAGGAGGGGGTGTGCCAGCTGTGGCCCAGCAAATGCTGGTGCCCCAGGGGCTAGTGCAAGGTGCAGCAGGTGAGACAGTGGACAGACAGACCTTGGCCCATCAGAAGGAAGTACTTTCTAACAGGGGCACCAGATCAGTTTTGTTCACACACACACTCATAGACACACTCACTCACTGTATTAGTTTGCACTTCTATACAAATACCTGAGACTGGTAATTTATAAAGAAATGAGGTATAATTGGCTCATAGTTCTGCAGGCCGTACAGGAAGCATGGCAGCATCTGCTTCTGAGAAAGCCTCGGGGAACTTTGACTCATGGTGAAGGCAAACTAGAAGCAGCTGTCTTACATGGTGGGAGCAGGAGGAAGAGGCAGCGAGGGTGGGTAGGGGAAGGTGCTGCACACTTTTAAATGCCCAGATCTCATGAAAACTCTATCACTAGAACAGCACCAAGGAGATGGTGCTAAACCATTCATGAAGGATCCACCCCCATGATCCAATCACCTCCCACCAGGCCCCACCTCCAACACTGGGGATTACAATTGCACATGAGATTTGGGCAGAGACATGGATGCAAACCATGTCACGCACACACCCTCTGACACTTACACCCACACACCCAGTCACTCAGCTCCAACCCTCTGCCTTTACTGGCTGGGCCTTGGTTGTATAGAATGGATGCTAGATTTGGGCCTAGGGGAGGTAGAATTTCTAAAATGGCCCACACAGATGTCCCTCCTTAATCTCCAGATGCGGTGAATAAGATGAGTGAATATCATCACTCCTGTGATGATGTTATGGAACATGGCACAACTGACCTTAAGATGAGGGTTTATTGGTAGGCCTGATTTAATCCCATAAGCCCTTAAAAATAGAGAGCTTTCTGAGAGTAGGAGGAGAGGGCAGAGAGAGTCAAAGCAACAGCACAATGACCACTCTTGGCTTTGGAGATGAAGGGGGCTATGTGCAGGGATTGGCATGAGGTCAGTAGGAGTTGAGAGTGACCCCTGGTCAAAGCCAGCAAGCAGCCTGGGACTTCAGCCTTATGGCCACTAGACCTGAATTCTGCCAACAACTGGAATGAACTTGGAAGTGAATTCTTTCCCAGAACCTCCAGACAAGAGCACAGTGTGGCTAACATCTTGATTTTGGCCTTTTGATACCCTGAGCATAGAGCCCAGCCAAGCCCACCCAGACTTCTCACCTATAGAACTGTGAGCTAATAAATGGCTGTTGTTTTAAGCCATCAAGTTTGTGGCAATTTGTTCTGCAGCAATAGAAAACAAATCCAGGGTCATCCTTGGGCTCCACACAGCTTTTCCAATTTTCCGAGATACAAGCTGTGGTTAACTTCCAGTTCTTCCAAGCCCAAGGGGAGTGAGCCCTGAGGAGTTAGCCCATCTGTGGCTAAACCTATCCCTCGTGCCTGCAAAGTCTGAGCTCCCGGCCTGCAGATGCTCATACGTGACAATCTGGAGCTCATCTGATTGTCGCCATAATGGATATCCCCAGGAAGGAGAATTCTTTGGGCACCAGTTTGTGGGGCCTAACTTCCTCACTGGGGCAGAAGAACATTCCCAGGATAAGCCTGGCAGGCCGTTGGCTTAGGCAGCCTCCCAGCATTTGGGTTGTAGTGTTTGTGTGTGTGTGTTTTAACCTTTCTTAGCTGTTGCTCACCTTAGATGTCACCTGTTGCTTCTTGTTGGTAGGGCCAGACCTCAGGCAGCCTTGGCTAAGGCATTTGGGGGTGAGGTTACATGGAAATAAAAACAGTGATCTGGCAGGCATTTGAGTGACACAGAAACCAGAATCTCATGCGTCTCAGCTGAGGTCAGAATGTTTTGGGGAGCCCGAAGTAATGGCTCTTTCTCTGGGTGTGAACATCCAAAAGATGCCAAAGGGAGAACCTCATCCTCAAGGTGAATCCGCCTGTGAGGAGTGACTGACAAGGTGGCATCCCTGGGGCAGGATGCTTGACTGAGCTCCATTTGATGGAGGACAGACCAGCGAAAGCTGAGGCTGGGGGCTCCCAGGGCTCAGGTTGAGTTTCCCGAAGCAGCCCAGTGCGTCTCTTAGCAAGACCAGAGGCAAGGGGAAGGTAAATTCCTGAAAAGGAGCCACCTCTGTCTTTCAGGTTAAAATAGCCTTGTCCCAAAGATGTGATAACACGGTGTAGGCAGGTGGGAACCAGAGGACCATGGCAAGCACTGGGTGTGTAAACACAGGAGGAAAACTGTGGTTCTTGAAAACTCGTCAGTGAGGAGACCTGGCCACAGGCCAAGAGGAGGAGAGCTGCTTCCAGGTGAGCCCTGAAACCTATTTGGGGATCAACCGATTTCTCCAGGCCTGTGGGTATCACACTAGTACCTGGGGAGGAGAAGGGCTCTGGTGGGTCACAGTTGTTACTGAGTCCTTGCTAGTGGCTGTGGTTGTGGTAGAATAAGCACTTAGGAAGCTACTGGGCCCATGGCACAAGGTAGGGCAGGTAGTTAACTGGTTTCTGGCATTGGGCACTGTGGGCTGGCACCGTGGGGAGGCCGGGTTCCACTGGAAGCAGAAAGAAACACGAGGTGGGAGAAGAGTACTGATGGCCTCATCTTAATGCTGGGTAATTCTCTTCCTGCAGAAGAGACTTGCGGTGACATCATGTGATGTCTATTTCATGAATGAGGAAGGTGGAGTCATCACAAATCAGCCTTGCAAATAAGCATGGGCTTGTGGCATTTTAAACCAACCTTGGGCCCAAGAGCCAGTGTACTCATCTTTTGGTGCCAAGGCAACGGGTCCAGAGGGACCTGCATTTGGTGCTGATCAATCCCTCTCCCCAAACAGAGGTACATATCTGTGCTTGCTCCAGCAGCGGCAGCCAGGATGGCACATGGCAGGCTAGAGGAGGGAGCAGCAGGGGTGGAGGCTGGATGGAGCAGCCACTGTGCCGTGTGACTTTGTGCCAGCCCTTTCCTATCTCTGGGAAAGTGTCTGTGAGAAGCAGGCTGATCTTGTAGATCTCCTTGGCACCCAGTAGGTCTGCTGCCCGCCATGGGGCCTATGATGCCTGTAAGCTTGGATGGCGGTCGCTAGTCCACGGGGGTCCTGAGCACTCTCTCTACTCCTTCTTCGTAAAACAAGGAGATCGGACTCATTGAGCATCCCTGTCTCTTCTGGCTCCAGTGCCCCAAATGTCTAACTGTGTGAAATGCAGTGTGCTTGTCTCTCTGTGACCCTATTCCTGGTCCTTTCTGAGACTGTTCATATGTTGGGACTGAGAGTTTGTGTTATCTGAAGCTAGCATGCTGTCCACACTGTGGGGAAAGCCCACATGATTTGCTATTGTCCTCCCCTCTAGTGCCCTGTGGTTTTAGAGCCCATGCAGTGTGGTCTGCCATTTGTCTGTCTGTCTCCTGAGGCATTTGCCTGCTTTAATCTTCTGTGGGCTGTGCAAACAGCCCTGAGTGGTGCATGGTGACCACAGGTAGGGGTGTCTGGAGGGCTGTGTTCTATCTCGTGCAGACATGTGTAAGAGGAAGGCATGAATAATTAGAAACTTCTTAATGGTAGGGCCAGCACCAGTGATTAATCATAGCAAAATTCTCCTGCCACACACATAGCAAAGAGTCTTTATCACTCGCCCCAATTAGCTGCTGATGTCTCCCACTTTTCCTTGTCCTTGGCTCTTAGAAAGAAAAGTTTCAAGATGATTCGGTCCCAGTCCCTGTCTCTGCAAATGCCGACACAGCAAGATTGGAAGGGCCCCCCGGCAGCCAGTCCGGTCATGTCTCCCACAACCCCTGTGGTCACTGGAGCCACTTCCCAGCCCACGCCAGCACCCTATGCCATGCCTGAGTTCCAGCGGGTCACCATCAGCGGAGATTACTGTGCCGGGGTAAGGCGTCGGTGGGAGTGTTGAATGTGCCTTGCGTGCAGAGGCCAGGGGCCCCATGGGCCACAGGGTCGTGCCCACCTCTGGAGCCTGGTCCTGTCCGTGGGTGTCTGGGAGAAGGTAAAGAGGAGGCACAGGAGGCAAGGAGGGTCCTAGCAGAGGTTGTGGGGTGTGGGTGTGGTGTCTCAGTGGCTGCCTGTTCCCTGTGAGGAGGGCCCCGGGGTGCAGGCTGGCACACTGTGTCTGTGGCTTGTAACTTCCACATGTTCTCTAAGTCTAGAAAGCTGGAATTGGTCCCTGTAGCCCGATGAGAAAGGTGCCAGCTTGGGCCTTTCAGTGTTGCCAAATGTTTAGTAGATTCAAAGTCATGGTACTGAATGGTTTGTGTGAAATTAGTTGTTGCTAAATCATCTCTTCTTACATGTAGGTTCAGCACCCTTAAATATAGGCTAGATCCCCTCAGCTGGGAAGAGAGAATCTTGTTTAGAAATTGAGCAAATTGGTTTACACTAAGTGAGTTAATGCAGTCACTGAAAATGTGCTAATTTCACCGGATTGGATGATGCATTTTTTATGCATGCCTACTTCTTGGAGAGAAATATCACTGAGTTAGTGCCAGGGTTAAGTTTGGCTCCAGTGCCCTGGCCCCAGCTCACTACTTACGCCTCAGTTGGCTTCATTAGTCTCTCTTTTTAACAGTAGCTGAGAAAATATGGTGAATCTGAGACAGCAATGCAGCTTATTGCTCTTCCTATAAAATTTCCCCTAGCTTTCAAAAGTTTTTTGGTTATATGTAATGGAGAACACTTGCATATGGTACAAAATTTAAAAGATACAAAAATGGTATCAATTCACCCATTCTCCTCCTCAGAGGCAACCATTAGTTTTGGTTTCTTATGTATTCTCACATATATGGTTTATGTACCTACAATTATTTATGCATACATAGTTTATTTACTTATTTTTATAAAAATTGTAGTTTACAATATACATTATACTGCATCTTGCATTTTCCACTTAACAATACATCTTAAAGATAATGCCATATCAATATGTACATAACTTCTTTGTCCTTTTAAAAAATATGTACATAGTATTCCTTTGTGAGGATGTATCATAGTTTATTTTAATTAAGTTCCCATGGTTGGGAGTTTAGATTGGATTGAGAAAAATGCAGGCCTTGTCTGGAGATTAGTGTCTTGACCATGAGTCTTTGGTGTTCACCCAGCCTCAGGCAGGTGGGCAGAGCATTGGAAAGCAAGAGTCGAGGTGGGCCGACCACCAGCTGAACGGGAGGACATCAGCCCGTACCATGTACTAACATGTACTAGCTTCTTTCTCCTAGTCTCCTGGCTGGCACAGAGTAGTACATGGAGCACCTGAACTGGGCAATTGGTCCTCAGAAAGCTTAGTGTCCATGAGAGGCAGGCTGATCTTGCAGATCTCCTGGCAGCAGTAGGTCTGCTGCCAGCCATGGGTCCTGTGATGCCTGTAAGTTTGGCGGGTGGCCACTAGTCCACAGGGGTCCTGAGCATCCTCTCTGATGTCCTTAGCCATGGCCTGAGCCCCTGTCATGCTGAGTCCATTGGTTGCCCAGAGAAAGTGTTTGGCTTTGTTGTTGGCTGGGACGTATTTTTGTCTAAGATGTCTGTGTCTGCTCACCTATTCCTGCTGCTCTCAGAAGCCATCCACTGGGAGGTATAAAAGGAATTAACATACCCTATGGGGACATTTAGAGGCAGGAAAGGAGAATCTACCACCGTAACAAAAAGCAAGAAGTAGTATTTAGTAAAAGTATAAAAACATGCATAGGAAAAATATATTCAGACTTCTTCCCTCTGAGGATGGGGTAGGGAGGAGGGTAGAGTTTTAGCTGTATCTGTGATGATTTATTTCTTTAAACTTGTGAGAAATTTGAAAGAATTATGCTAAATATTAATATTGTCAGCTCTAGAAGGTAGATTATATTATCTTTGGTGCCTGTGTGTATGTTTAAAATATTGCAAAATTGAAAATGATGATTTTATTAAAGCAGAGGGGAACACTTTCAGGCCCCAGCCCTCCCCACTCTGGGCTATGCCAGCATGTGGTGCTTCCCTCTGCTGTACCCCTTACCCCGCATTATGTCTGTATGGCCACTTGTCTCCCCAAGCATTTTTCTGTGATTCTCATCCTTCCCAAACAGATTAAGATTAATGAGCCCATTGGAAGGTGGGAATTTATCTCATTCATCTTTGAATATGAGGCTGCTCTGGTAAAGCAGAACATCCTTAGACTTTGGGACTCAATCAGGTTAGAGTCTGAAATTTGACTTTGTAGCTTCACAAGTGATTTATCCTCCCTGGGCCTTAGTTTTCCCATTTGCAAAATGGGTTGCAGTAAGGAGCAAAATGAAATCTATGGAAAGGTCTGGCACATAACACATGACAATGGGTCTTGTGGCCTGGATGAGTTGGGTGATTAACAGATTTAATCAGAAGTGTGGGGTTGGCAAAGAAGCAGGCTGAGCATGCAGAATTTGCTTTTGCTTTTTGTTTTGTTTCGACATATGAAGGACACATGAATTTTATCAACTGAAAATGATGGCGCTCATCGCCTTCAGGGGTAGGACTCAGGCTTTGTCCCTTCATGGGCCTGGTGCAAAAACAGACTTTTGGCTTAATTAGCTGAATGTGAAGCCAGCTTCTGGGTGTGCAGGCTGGAGCACTTGTCTCTCTTCCAATGACCCTCACTCCTCCTGTGTCTCCAAGACCATTCCCAGGTTGGATGATTCACCAGGAGGACTCACAGGACTGTGCATATAGCTGTACTTACAGCTTTCATTTATTACAGTAAAGGATACAGAGCAAATCAGCAAAGGGAGAGATACTTGGAAGATACGAGGTGCAAGCTTCCAAGGTCCTCTCCCAGCGGAGTCATCAGAACATACCGGATACCTTCAGCATCACATTGTGACAGCACATGTGGGAAGTGTTGTTTACCAGGGAAGCTCATTAGAGATTCCGTGCCCAGGGTTTTCACTGAGGCTGGTCACACATCTGCATAGCAGATCTCAAGTTCCAGGCTCCCAGAAGGAAGGCAGGTGTCCAACGTGAACCATATTGTTTGCACAAACAGTTTAGGTGCAGTGAACCACTCTTACTGGTCAGGGAGTGGTGAGAACCCTCCTGAAATCCAGGTTCCCAGATACCAGGCAAGGGCCAGTCTTACAAGCACGTCTTTCCAAGGATGGCAGTCTCAGGCCTGCTGCGTGAACCCTTTCCTGCCTGCCTCCCTTCTGCAGATCACTTTGGAGGACTACGAGCAGGCAGCCAAGAGCCTGGCCAAGGCCCTAATGATCCGGGAGAAGTATGCAAGGCTTGCCTACCACCGCTTCCCGCGGATCACATCCCAGTACCTGGGTCATCCGCGGGCAGATACTGCACCTCCGGAAGAGGGCCTTCCAGGTACAGAGCTCTGGCTGGAGGTTGGGTCCCAAGTGTGGGTGGACCGAGAGCTACTCAGGGCTTTTTGCTGGCTTGATCTATTTCCCCTGATGGTATTTTAAGAGGACAGTGTTCTTGCATTGACTTCTCCCACACTGATGTTTGATGGTTCCCCCAAGGATTGATTGTATGTGTACTGTATGCCTCACCTGTGCAGAGCTGAACTGTTGAAGTTAAGAGAGAGAAGTAAAAGACAGTCCTTGTTCTTGGGAGTCCATCAGGGAGACAGGCAGTCTCATGTGGGATTTTTTTTTTTTTTTTTTTTTGAGATAGGGTCTTGCTCTGTTGCTCAGGCTGGCATGCAGTGGTACAATCACTGTTCACTGCAGCCTTAATCTCCTGGGATCAAGCAATCCTACCACCTCAGCCTCTCGAGTAGCTGGTATCCAAAGGCACACACTACCACACCCACCTAATTAAAAAAAATATTATTATGTTTTGTAGAGATGGGGGTCTTACCATGTTGCCCAGGCTGGTCTCAAACTCCTGGACTCAAGTGATCCTCCTGCCCTGGCCTCCCAAAGTGCTGGGATTATAGATGTGAGCCACTGTGCCCGGCCTCATGTGGCATATTTAAAAGAACACAATCACACAGTAAATGCCAAATTGGTGGTAGGGTGGATTGGGGAGGGAGTAGGAACAGAGGGCATGTTCCCTGGGAAGATGATGTAGGCTCTGGTGTCAAACACAGCTGCATTTGTATCTGGCCTCCATCAATTTCTTGGGATTTGGGGAAAGATATTTCTCCAAGCCTCACTTTGTAAAATGTAATCTATAAAATGGAAATGCAAATAATATCTGTCTCCAAGAGCTGTCGTGAGGATTAAACAAGAGAATGCATGTCAAGTACTTAGTTCAGTTCTGGCATCTAGTGAGTGTTCAGTAAGTGGTAGCTGCATTTATGCTGCCGAGTTCAGGGAAGGGGAGATCGGAGAGGGCTGGGTGGTTTCCTCATGAAGCCTCGCCGTGAAGGACCTAACAGCAGCAGGGGCGGTAATGAGGACAATAGGAAACCCCACTCCTGAAAGTTGGTGGTGGGGAGACACATAAGGGCCCTGGTGGTCTCCATCAGTGCCTGGGACCCTGGCTGCCTCTGGGGGTAGCTGGTGGTGCCAAGTTGCCCCAGTCTCTGGCTTCCTTGAATTTCAAGTCCTGTATTTTGAGCATCTGGGGCCTGAGGTAAATTTCAGCCCTTTGGGTCCATTTCCCTATCTGAGGGAAGTGGATCCTACCATCTCGGTTTTGGCAAAGACAGAAATAACCGTCAAATGTGTACTTTACGTGGACAGAGGACCCCCGTGTTCCGGGCATGAGTATGGGGAAGAGGAGCAACTTCCGAGTGTGCAGGCTGTAGCTTTACCTGGAGCTTGAACTGCCTGCATCTCGCAGACCGCTACACGCATTAGGGCCTCCTGAGCTGGCCTGTGACCATACCTGATGGGGCACGTCCCTCTCCACCTCTGCCTGCATCAGCCCCTTTGTGGCTCCTTACATGTGCTCTAGGGATGGCCTGTTCCTTCCAAGCATGGATGGAGGAGGCCCAGGCAGGTCACTCTGCCTTGGCAACTTCCTTTGATGCAGATCTTGAGGTTTGCTCCTGTCTATGCCGGCAGCTGAGCAGCTGACCCTGGATGGTGCCGACTGAGCTGCGTGGAGTTGAAGCCTCCAGCTCTACTGATAGTTAGCATCAATACATTCCTTAGGGACAGAGTTTATCAAGAGTCAGGAAAACTAATTATGAGAATAATAAGAATAATATCCTATAATTCATTATTCGTAGTACATTACTCTTTATGAAGAATTTTCTATACATACTATTGCAACCCTCACAGCAGCCTGTTAAGGCAAGGGGTGTTATCTTCAGATGAGGAGATAGGCTCAGAGAGGTAAAGGAGTTTGCTGAAAGTCTCACAGCAGGGAAATTGCATAGAGGAGTTTTCTGCCTCCTGTTGGCTAATTCTAACCTTAACCTATAGTGGTGGGGAGCAGATGGCTTTATCATTGGCATTCCCCGCTCTGAGGGAGACAAGTTCCCTATCCTTTGCTCCTTTGGGGAGGGAGTAGCTTCTTTAGCCCCTCAGCTGGCCTGGGCCCAGGACAATTATTTCCACTGGGCAGTCCAGGTGCAATCTGTTCTCTTCCTGGGAGAAGACACTGCTGCCCTTCTTAATATTCCTGGGATCTCTGAAGTGCTGAGGAAAATGAAGCCCATTTCAGTTAAATTTTAAAAAATTGTTGAAGTGCTAGCCATGTGCCAGGGACTGTTCTAGACACGTAGCAGTAAACAGCACAAATCAGTCTCTGCCTGCATGGAGTTTCTATTGGAGTGGAGAAGACGTCACATCTGAGATAAAGAAGTGACATGGTTTGACATGGTGGTAAGTGCTGGGAAGGAAGCAGGGAAGAGCACATCAGATGCGGGGCCGATGTGGGGTTGGATTTTGGGCGGGAAGACCAAGGCAGGCCTCCGTGTCTTTTGAGCCCATGGGGGGCACTTTGCCATCCCTCAATCCTGTTTTGCAGACTTCCACCCTCCTCCACTGCCCCAGGAAGACCCCTACTGCCTGGATGATGCACCCCCCAACCTGGATTACTTGGTCCACTTGCAGGGGGGCATTCTCTTCGTGTATGATAACAAGAAGATGCTGGAGCGCCAGGAGCCGCACAGCCTGCCCTACCCCGACCTGGAGACGTACACAGTGGACATGAGCCACATCCTGGCTCTCATCACCGATGGCCCCACGTAAGCCAGCTTCTCTGCAGCTGCCTTTCTTTGCACAGGTGCTGTTCTGTAGGAAGGAGATAAGAAAGGCCTTACCCCTCTGCCCTGGGGTCCTCTGTACTTAAAGCATCCCAGAAAGAGTGCGGTTTCTCCTTTCCTCAGTGCTTTGTGGGTTTCTGCAACAGTTTTCCTTCATAGGCTGGCATAGCCTTAGACTTGGTACTCCCTGTCCCCGCCTCCTTTTCTTTTTGAGACAGCATCTTGCTCTGTTGCCCAGGCTGGGGTGCAGTGGTATGATCTTGGCTCACTGCAGCCTCTGCCTCCCGGGTTGAAGTGATTCTCTTGCCTCAGCCTCCCAAGTAGCTGGGACTACAGGCATGTGCCACCATGGCTAATTTTTATATTTTTAGTAGAGACAGGAGTTTCGCCATGTTGCCTAGGCTGGTCTCAAACTCCAGAGCTCAGGTAATATACCCAACTCAGCCTCCCAAAGTGCTGGGATTACGGGTGTAAGCCACCATGCCCGGCCTCCTTGTCCCTTCTGCATGCATAATGTGGAGCCTCTGCTTGCTGGTGGCCACCCGGGCGCCTCTGAATGGCTGTCATTCCTCTCCCCAGGCAGGACAGCAGCCTTGTAGAGAGTTACCAGCCCAGAGCATAACTGTATTTGGTGAGGAGTGATGAAAACATTGCTTCAGGCCTTGGATTTTCTGGGTTTCTGGAGAGGAGCATGCAGCGAGCCTGGGGAACTTTGCTCATGGGCATGATGCCCCATGATGCTCGTGGGCTTGGCTCCAGCTAACCTGGTGGGCAGCCATCTTTCTGAATTTGGCCCCCTCACTTCTTGGTGGGCACTTAGGCTGATCAGTAATGCCCGGACCCTGTGAGCCTCAGAGTGGCTGTGCTGGGAGTGGGAGTCTGGGTGAGGGGAGGTGCTGGTCACTCCTGAGGGCCTTCTCTCTGGTTTTCTGGGAATCCTGTGATGCCAGTCTCCAAAGTGGCATAGTGAGCCCAAGGTTGATGGGCAGCATGACTCTTAGTCCTCCCTGATCTGAGGGCAGAACTCAGGCATGGGAAGGGCAGGGGCGGTTCCTCAGAGGCTGTCCTCAGCCAGGTGTGCAGGCAGTGGCTGTCCCATCTGGGAGGTTGTGAGGATCCTGCCTGGGGAGAGAGACTGAGTGAGGCGGCGTTTAAACTCCCTTCCGACTCTGAGGCTGTCCTGTGCTCTGTCCACTCTGGGGCTTGTCTGGGCAGATGGATGACTGTGCTGTTGCAGCGCTGACAGATGCTCTTATGGAAGTCTAGGTGATTAGATGCCAAGGAAGCTGCTGTTTGTTCTGGTGGCACAAGGAAGCAGGGTAGCATGAATTGTGGTCAAAGGTTCTGTGTGGCTGTGGATGCAGGTGTGTGGCTAGGCACCTGGGCTGGGTGTGGGCTGGTGGTTGGCCACAGCAGTGAGCATCCCCATCCCCAGTGGCCTTTACTGGCTGATAAATCATAAAAACCCCTTCTCTGAGTTGGTGGGAATCTGGGGGCATCAGTCCTTACAGAGATTTCTGTCTTGGTAACAAATATCCCTACAGTCCCAACCTGCCCATGATGCAAAACATCCTCCTCTTGTCGTGAAGCCTCAGAGTTGAGAGGTCCTTGGGCCATGGCCATTAGGTCGGGGGGCTGGTTCCTCTGCAACCCAAGGTGGGCAGGTCATGCCTTGGAGTTTGACTGTGTTATCAGTCCTCCGGGCAACAAATTCCTTCTTCAAGGAATGACAAGTGGCTGAGGATAGAAAAGAGGAAGGAAAGGAGGGGATGAAGGAGGGAGACCTCCACTGAGTGTCCACTGTGCTTGGAGCCAGGCCCTTTCCCAGGCGTAAACCAGTTTAACCCTTACTTCAGCCTTGGGTGTTACCACCTGATATTTACTTATGGGAAATGGAGGCTTGCGGTTAATTCCCTAAACACGTAAACTAGAAGTCAAAACACCTGTATGAGGTCCCAGAGCTGGCCTGCTATTGCCCCATCTCCTGACTCTCCACTGACTTTATAGAGTCTGTGGTGTGACTCAACAGTTCAGCAGGGTCTGCAGAAAGCCGGAACCTCCTCATTCTACCCTGCTCCATCCTGACCCTTCCAGCCAGGGTTGGCCCCTGCAGATGCTGGGGGCCTCCAAACTGGAGAGCTCGATGTGACTTCTGCTCAACTATGGTCTCTCCCCATCTCCAACTTGCAGGAAAACCTATTGTCACCGACGACTGAACTTTCTGGAATCCAAGTTCAGCCTTCATGAGATGTTAAACGAAATGTCTGAGTTCAAAGAGTTGAAGAGTAACCCCCACCGGGACTTCTATAACGTGAGAAAGGTGCGTTAGGGGCCAGTGTTCACAGCTGCCCCTCCCGGTCCCCCTCCCAGCCCATGGGATGCCCTGAGCCAGTCTGAGGTTTGTCCCCTGTGAGAATGTCAGGGCTCCTGGCTAAGGGCCGCCTTTGTGGCCAGAGGGGTATGAAGCATACATGCAGAAGGAAGATGGGTGAGCTATGTTTGTGTCAGGCTGGGTCTCAGACAGCACTTGAATCACTCTAGGTGGAAACCTTTGTCCTCATTGTATATCTGTTGGGATGTGCCCTCTTCCTTGGAAAATAGGCCACAGCCTATTAATTGGTCATAAAAGTTGAGCACAGCCTACTTTTAAGGTAGGGGATGTATGAGAGTCATCAAGGAAAGACACAGCTGTAAAGATCTCTTTGGTCCCCTCCTTGTGTCCATGTGTTCTCATTGTTCAGCTCCCTTATGAGTGAGAACATGCGGTGTTTGGTTTCTCTGTTCCTGTGTTAGTTTGCTGAGGATGATGGCTTCCAGCTGGGCTTAATACCTAGGTGATGGGTTGATAGGTGCAACAAACTACCATGGCACACATTTACCTATGTAACAAACTGGCACGTTCTGCACATGTATCCTGGAACTTAAAGTAAAATAAATAAGTTAATAAAATAAAATTTAAATTCCCTGAAAAAAAAATCTCTCTGGAGTTGGGAGTTTGTGGTTTTGCATCCTTCAGGATCATGTGGATTTAAAGAAAAGTCTCCGATATGCTCAGATCTCTGCCTCTCTTCTCCCACCGAGGGGATGGCAGCCTTGCCTGGGGCTCCTGGCAGTCTTCGCCTGCAGGGGCTGCAGCTGCGGTAGGAGTGAAGGTTAAATGATCGTGGCTCCAGCCTTTCTATTCTCTTCTGCTGAAGCGCTGTGCAGTGAGGCACAGGGTCAGTGCTAGGCAAGGGGCGTTTGATGGTGAGCAAGAGTCACTTCCTGTCAACCAGGTGGTTTGAGGGAGAGGCCAGAACTAAGCTGGCTTAGAGTGAGTAGGAGCTTGCCAGGCAGAGGGTGTGGTAGGGGAATGGAAGTGGTGGCATTCCAGGTAGAGGCACATGATGTGCAAATGTCAGGAGGGAGGGATGATATGAGAGAGTCAAAACAGTGCATTGACGTAACTGCAAGCAGTGCAGTGTGGCTGGAGCACAGTCATCGGGAGCAGGGAGCAGTGGGTTGTGGGGAGAGTAAGGCTGCAGATATGTGGGGAGGTCCTGGATCATGCGGGGGCTATGGGTTTCCCACAGAAGGCAGGGAGGTGGGCTGGGGTGTGTGGTGAGCTGGGAGAGAAGCTCCTTGGGGAAGAGTGGGGATCAGGCTTTGCTTGGAGGAGGGATGGCCAAAGCTGAATGGAGTCACAGTGGGGTTGTCATCTCCACAGGAGCTCTGTCCCAGACCTCCTGGGGACTTCCTCTTTTTGGGGTCAGCTTTGATAAGGGAAGGTAGGCCAGGGGAGGATGTGGCTCCTCTGGGAAAGCCCAGCTCTAGGCTCCCTGACCTCCTGACTGGGAGCACTCAGCAATGCAGATGGAAGACCATATCTGGAGGCCCTAAGCCCACTTCTGTTACACGTCAGGGGGTCCAACACAGACTCCCACTTGGATGGGATCAAGAGCTTTAAGAAGTGTTTGGCTTCAGCTCATGTGCCCTGAGAGGCTTGCGGAAGTGTCTTGGCGATTTCCAGGCAGAAGTGAAAGGTGTTTTAGACACCACTTACGTGGGCACCCTGGCATTTTTACCTTCAAGCACCATTTGTTACTTCTCTGTGAGCCTTAGGTGTTCACACAGGTGGATGTCTCTATCACTATGTGAATGCCTCTCAGCCCTGCCCAAAGAACTTCACATGCCTAGCACATGCCCAGGCCCATGTCCAAAGAAACGCCTCTCCCAGCCCGTTGCAGTCCTGTCCCGCGCATACGTGAATGCCCTGGGCTTACCTGCTTCCTGCTGCCTGGGGCCAAGGTGTCCTTACTGACTGTGCTGGCACTGACACTGTTTGCTTCTAAGGTGGGGCCCCCGTGGGTGTTCCTGGGTCTACCAACTGCTCTCTGGTCCCAACATGAGAACGAGTCCTGGCGTGGGGCTAGGGTAACAAATCAGAGCCTATCCCCAGGGTTCTCCTGCAGTCTTGGGGTTAATGTTTTCTCTGGACAGAGATGACCTTGATACCTATGACACAGTGGCCTGTTCTTAGGCACATTGTCAGTCCATAAACATGGGTGCAGGGCTGCTATGAGCCAGGCCTGTGCCCGCCCCTGGGTGCTGCCTACTTGATAGCACTCTCTTTTTTTGGTTTCCTTGAGATGAAGTTTTGCTCTTGTCGCTGGAGTGCAGTGGTGCAATCTCGGCTCACTGCAACCTCCGCCTCCTGGGTTCAAGCGATTCTCCTGCCTCAGCCTCCCAAGTAGCTGGGATTATAGGTGCCTGGCACCACGCCTGGCTAATTTTTGTATTTTTAGTAGAAATGGGGTTTTGCCATATTGCCCAGGCTGGTCCCGAACTCCTAGCCTCAGGTGATCTGCCTGCCTTGGCCTCCCAAAGTGCTGAGATTACAGGCATGAGCCACCACACTTGGCCTTGATAGCACTCTCATAGCCTCTACTATGGGGAGGAGAGCTGCTTTCTAAAATCCAGAATGGGCTGGATGGTGGCCTCCATCTGTCTAAAGTGCTGTTGGTGTCCCAGGGGCAGAACAGGGCTGTGGTCTGAGGCAGGAGCTGTGACGTGGCCATGGATCTGTGTGGGTGGTGTCTGTGGAGGGACCCGTCACATTGCAGCAGGTGAAGGGCTGAGATACCCCGAGGCCCAGCCAGCAGGACTGTGTGACCAAGACACTTGTTTTCTATGCAGAAGCAAGATAGAAGGGCTGAGTGTGTTTGCTGCTTGGGAATTGGGTAGAAATAGGTGAGGTCTACTGTGGTTTAAGTGTCATATTAAGAATAGCAAATAGGTTTTATCTTCTGTACTAAACCTGACCAATTAGGGGTAGTTACCAGAGGCCACTCCTAAAGCTTAGTGAAAAGAGTGCTGTCCTCGATTATCAATGCCTGCCATGGGTATGGAAATGGTCAGTGTTGACTTAGGTCCCAGGTTTGGAAACTCTGCTCTTTGTTTACATCTGAATCTTAGGTGAACATGGGGAATGCACTTAGATCCTCTGGTGAATTGAAAACACTGACCTCCAATGACCTTCAATTATTTTGTTCCTAAAATAATCACCCTTGAGATTCTGAAGTTTGGATGGGGTGCTTCCTGGATTGTCCAGTTGTTTTCCTCATTTATCTTGTGACTCATGGGGGTAAGGATAGGCTGACCCCCCTGTGGTGTGTCATTGGTAAGCTAGAGAACAGGATCAGAAAGCCCAGAATCCGCTGAGTCATGCTGAGTTCGTTGCACCAAGCTGTGTCCAGCTGAGCTGAGCCAGGCTGACCTTCTCTTGTGCATCCCACGTGAGCCCAGCCTCATCTCTGAGGAGCCTGGATTTTGGGGATGTTTTAGTTTTCTGCTTTGTTTTGTTTCCCCAATGTCCAGTGGTCTGTCTTTCTGGTAAGAATGGCAAGATTAATGGCAGGAAGGACCCTGATGAGTGAGGGCTGTGGCTAATGACATGGGCTGGCTGGCATAATGCTCACAGAGGTCCAGTGGATCAAATATCTGGTTTGGCATGACTTGGAGATGCTCAGCCAGCCATGGACAGCATTCCTTGCCCTGAGGTCAGCCGCCTCCTCACCCCAGCCCAGGCTGAGCGCCCAGTCGGCCGCAACAGTAGCTCCAGAGTGTGGTCTAATGGCTGTCAGCAGCCTGGCCTGTGAGGCTGCTGTCATCCTCCCCGGGAGCTCCCGTAGGTCCCTTGGGCTCAGGGAGGGGGAGCCAGTTTGCCCACAGTGACTTCAGGCCATCCCTCAGCTTAGCTGGGGCTTCATTTCTCAGGGCTTATGGCTGTCCTGTGAGTGAAGCACAGTGAAAAGGGCGAGTGGGGATGAGGGATGGGGAGATGGGTAGGATCCAGGTAATATTAGCAGAGCCCTCATCCTAAGATTAATGAAGAGGGTTCAGTAACAGAAACAAATTACATTTAAAAAATCCCTTCTAGCTTCTGTGTATGGAGAATGAATTGAACCAGAGCACAAGAAAAAGGAACAAGACCAGTTAGGAGGTCACTGTGAATTCAGGCCTGAGAACATGCAGGCTTGAACTCCTGTGGTGGCAGTGGGGTTGGAGAATATTGTATGGATTTGACATCCATTTGGAAGGCAGAATTGATGAGACTCACTGAGGGAAGGGAGTAGTAGGAAAGCCAAGGATGACTCCCAGTTTTTCAGCGTGACCAACTGGATTCAGGACACTCCATTTCCTAGGATTCCAGAATCTGGGAGATAATCATCAGGCTTGGGCTGGGGTCAGAGATGAAGAGTCCGCTTTTGGATATATTAAGTTTGAACTGCCTTTGGGTTATCCAGATAGAGGTGTCAAGTAGGCAGTAGTATGTACAGTTCTGGAGCTTTTGGCTGGTGACATAAATTTGGGAATTGGTATAAGTAAAATAATTAAATACACAGAAATGGAACAGATCACCTTTGGAGAGAGTTTATAGTGAGAGGACAAGAGAGCCCAGGACCAGGCCTCAAGAAATTCCATTATTAAGAGGTCTGGTAGTGAGGATGAGCTGGCTAAGGAGGCTGAAAAGGAGAGGCAGAGATGCAAGGGGTCAGTCTGGTATCACAGGACTTAGCACGATATAGAGGACATATTTCGAGATCTTGCTGGGCTCCTTCTGCAAAGGTGCCTTCTGCAAAAAACTGCCTTTTCCTGCAATGTGGGGAGAAGTCTAAGCTGACTGTTCATTTCTGCTTTTTAGGATTTGCTCTAAGATCTTTGGCCTTGGGCCCCATGGCTTGAGTCCATATGTTGGCTTAGGGTCACTAGAGCGGCTTCCAGTAGAGTGGCTTCTTCTTGGGACTTGGATGCCCTGGAGTTTGGGTGAGGTGTGACTAGTCAAGGAAGGGTATGTTTCGGGGGTTGGCCTCTAGTGTCTGTTCTCATTCATTCCCACTTGGAGGTTTGCTTTGGGAATGCTCTGAGGGTTCTGAGAGGGATCAATGGGAAGAGTGGGATTTGATGGGCCCTCAGAGTTATCACTGAAACCATGAGAACCTGTCACACCTCTTAATTTGTTCATTCATTCATCCATTGGTTCGACTTTGTACTAGGCTCTCGGGTAGGTGCTGAAGACTTAGAGGCATCAAACATGGCCTTTGTCCTTGAGGAGCTCCCAGTCTAGTGAAAGAGTAGACACCCAGACATGAGAGTGATCAGGAGGGTCTGCACAGCAATGGGATGCCTGTGCCAGGTTTTGAGGTTGGGTGAGCGAAAGAACATTCAGTTGTGTTTGGAGGAACAAGGTTGGCTCCCAAATGGAGGAGGTTGTGGGAAATTTCTAGGTGGATGAGATGGTGGAGAGAAAGTAGGGCATTCCAGACTGAAGAAACACATGGGCAAAGTGACACAGTGTGCTGTACCTCGGTGTCTTGTGTGCCCATAAGTGGTTTGTCACGGCTGTAGCACAGAATGGGGCAGTGGCAAGGCGAGAGTTAAGGCTTGAAATAAGCCTTGAATCCCAGGCCAAGGCACTTGGACTGTATTGTGAGGCTGATGGGCCCACTGGTCGTTTGTTGACTGGGGAATGGCCTGATCCAATCTGCATTTTAAAAAGACTTCCTGGTGCTGTAAGGAGGTGGAATGGGCAGCAAGGCTGAAAGGGAGGGATGCCGGTTTCGAAGTCTGAGGAGAGATGCGGAGTGGGATCCAGGCATTGGTGGGGCCGCCCCGATGGCCCATGAGGTGCTGGGGTTCTGTGCACATTAAGGGTTGGATGTCTTAACTCTTGTTGCTGGGGGAGGTGGCCTGACTCAGGGCCTGGTGGGTGCTGTGTTCCAGGTGGACACGCACATCCATGCGGCTGCCTGCATGAACCAAAAACATCTGCTGCGCTTCATCAAGCACACGTACCAGACGGAGCCTGACAGGACTGTGGCGGAGAAGCGGGGCCAGAAGATCACCCTGCGGCAGGTGTTTGACAGCCTGCACATGGACCCCTATGACCTCACTGTGGACTCGCTGGATGTCCACGCGGTGAGTGAGCTTCCGCTCCAGTGCCGCCAGCAGACAGCAGCCCTGGCTGGGGACTCAGCCCCCTGGAAAGCCACCGTGATTGTGCTTGCGGGGAGGCGCTATGGAAGCAACTCTTTCTCTTCTATCTGACTAAGAGATCATGTGGCCTCAGAGAATAACAGGTCTGGGGCAGCCATAGGACAGGGAAAGAGGGTGTGTGGCTTGGGGCCCGACAGGTCTAAGCACTAATCCCACTCCTGCCACTTAGGAGTTTTGTGCCCTTAGGCAACTCACAGAAGCTTTTATTTCCTTGCCTATAAAATGGTGACAGCCATGTGCCTTATTCACTTAAAAAAAAATATTGAAACACTAAATGATAGTGTAACTGCTATGGAAAACAGTATGGTAGTTCCTAAGAAAGTTATGTATAGAATTACCTATGGCTCAGCAATTCACTTCTACGTATATACCCAAAAGAACTGAAAGCAGGAACTTGAAGAACAGATACTCACATACCAATATTCATAGCAGTATGATTCATAGCAGCCAACAGATAGAAACAGCCCGTGTTCATCAACAGATGAATGGGTAAACAGAATGTGGTATATCCATACCATGGAATATCGTTCAGCCATAAGAAGGAGTAAAGTACTGATACATGCAACAACCATCAATGAACTTTTCAAAAGATTACACTAAATCGAAGCCAGACTCAAAAGGACAAATATCATGTGATTCCACTGATATAAGGTACCTAGAATAGGCAAATTCATAGAAATAGAAAGGAGAATAGAAGTTACCAGGGGCAGGCGAGAGGAAGGCATGGGGAGTTAGTTTAGTGGGTATAGACTTTGGGATGATAAAAAAGTTCTGGAAATGGTTAGTGGTGATGGTTGCACACCAGTGTCAATGTACTTAAAGCCACTGGAACTGTACAGTTAAAAATGGTTGAAATGGTAAGTGTTGTGTTGTGCATGCTTTATTAGAACAAAAAAAACCTTTGTTAAACAGAACATTGAATGATATAATATGGAGAAAGTGCTTTACAAAATGTGAGCAGTGATAGGGAATGCTCTATTATTCAGTGGTCCAGCCTCTCTGCTCACTAAGCCAGCCGTGTCCCAAGCTGAGCTGTGGTGACTTGCAGATGGGGCCCCTGCTGTTCCTTCACAGGGGGCCTTGCCAAAGGATCCCAAGCTGACCGAGTAAGGATCCATGGTCCTGGTTCCCAGGAGTTTCTAAGGTTTCATGCAAGAATTGACATAGAAGATGTCTTTCGGTGTGGCCATACAGAAGGCCGTCTCGTAAAGGTCTAGAGAGGGGAATGTGCGTGGTGGCTGCAGAATGATGCGCCGATTGGTGTGGTCTCCTCCCGCAGGGCCGGCAGACATTCCACCGCTTCGACAAGTTCAACTCCAAATACAACCCTGTGGGGGCCAGTGAGCTGCGTGACCTGTATTTGAAAACTGAAAACTATCTGGGAGGAGAGTACTTTGCTCGGATGGTCAAGGTGAGTGAACCCTCAGTCTCTCTAAGGCCTCTCAGGTGCCTGCCAACATCTGCCTTCAGAGAGTGGGGGCCCTGTGTGCCCCTGGCTCCTTTCCCTCCCTTTGTTCACCATCAGCTCAGGGAAGGGTGAGGTGCCCAGGTGCCCAGTGCTGTGGCTTTCAGAGGGTGGGGGCCCTGTGTGCCCCTGGCCCCTTCCCCTCCCTCTGTCCACCATCAACTCAGGCAAGGGTGAGGTGCCCAGGTGCCCAGTGCTGTGGCCTGGCTGCCTGCTCCAGGCAGTGCTGCATGTGCCAACTGCAGGGAAGAGGAGGGAAGGGTATCCACCTTGGACGAGCTCACAGCACCTGGCCTGGCTTTCCTGTCTCTGCAGCATGAACCCAGCTGGGAGCAGATGAGCTCCGTGTGGAGACGCTTCTGCTGTGGCCTGGTTCTGCAGACCCAAGGCCTTCCTCCCCAGAGGGAGCTTCTGCTAAAGTGGAACAAGAGCTTACAGGAGCAGGCAGCCCTGGGGATTTAGATCAGTGCTTCCAGAGTGGGAACAAGGTGGCTGGGGGAGCCACAGGACCCTGCTGGTGATGGAGAGTGAGGGTCTCCTATGTAGCTGGGATGCACTGGGGCTGACCCAAGCTCTTCTTATGCCAGGAGGTTGCCCGGGAGCTGGAGGAGAGCAAGTACCAGTACTCAGAGCCACGGCTCTCCATCTACGGCCGCAGTCCTGAGGAGTGGCCCAACCTGGCCCGCTGGTTCATCCAGCACAAGGTCTACTCTCCCAACATGCGCTGGATCATCCAGGTGCCCCGGATCTAGTAAGTCAGGTGGCCCCGCTGTCTGCCCTGTGCCCTACGGAGGTGACAGTCTGTCCCTCGTGGGCTGCTGAATCTGCACTCCTGAGAGGTAGGGCCTGTTCTGGTGCCAGCTTAGGCTTGTCCTTTCCAGGGATTTTTCCATGGAAGGAGTGATAAGCAAAGATGTCTGCATGATACTAGAACTCTTTTTTTTTTTTTTTTTTTGAAACAGAGTCTCACTCTGTCACCCAGGCTCTGAGTGTAGTGGTATGATCTTGGCTCACTGCAACCTCCACCTCCCTGGTTCAAGCAATTCTTTGCCTCAGCCTCCCAAGTAGCAGGGATTACAGACACCCGCCACCGCGTCTGGCTAATTTTTGTATTTTTAGTAGAGATGGGGTTTCACCATCTTGGCCAGGCTGGTCTTGAACTCCTGATCTTGTGATCCACCTGCTTCAGCTTCCCAAAATGCTGGGATTACAGGTGTGAGCCACCGCGTCCGGCCGACACTAGAACTCTTGATCTTTGAAAAATATAGCAGTGCAAAAGCCTTGGGGGAACAACCATCCTCACCTTCTTCTCATTGTGGGTTGAGGATGGATTGTCCTTCTGGTGAGACCCGGAGTATGGGGAGAGCTGGTAGTGGTCTACATTGCTGGCCCTCTCCCTGGATGTCACTCAGATGACTGCTGTCCTCTCCAGGTGGCTGGCCAGGGTGGAGCCCATGGCTCCAGGATGGACTGGGGTATGTGGTTTAGGGAAACAGAGCTGAGTAACAGAATGTTTGGGTCACTGGGAGTTTGAGGACTCATATCTCAGCCTCTTGGTCAGCCAGAATGCCAACATCCCACTCCCAGTGGCCTCCGGCTTGAGAAAGTGCTCTGATGGGCGTGGGTAAGTGTGGAGCTTGCAAACCAAGGCAGAGTATTGCAGACATTGCTGGGAGAGGAGGAGAGAGGAGGGATCTGTGTTCAGGCCACATCTGACTTGACTCTGGGTGTTTGATGGGGACACAGGGTGCCTGAGGAAGTGACTGGGGCTGCTCTCTGACAGGGCAGCGGGCTGTTGGATCCACCTGATAAGCGAGTCTTTGCTGTCCCCCAGCGACATATTTAGGTCGAAGAAGCTGCTGCCAAACTTTGGGAAGATGCTGGAGAACATCTTCCTGCCCCTTTTCGAGGCTACGATCAACCCCCAAGATCATCGAGAGCTTCACCTCTTCCTTAAATATGTAAGTGTGGGTGGTGCCCCAGGCAGGGCTCATAGTGGCAGGAATGGATTCGCTGTGAGCTGGGTCAGGTTTGCTCCCGCCCTTCACCGAGGTATCTCAGGTCCTGCCACCTGTGATCCAGGCATGGAGTCACCAGCCCCAAGAAGCTGGATTTCTAAAAAGTCCCTTTCCCCTCAGGGGCAGCTCTGGGAGTCGTGGGTGGCGGGGTGGGGGGGGTCTTGGGGCAGGCCTTTCCAGAGAGGAAGGCAACAGTGGACAAAGACTGGGAACTCGGTTCCTGCCAGGTGGGGCTGGAAAGGCTGGATCTAGCCCCCGACAGCACCAAGCAGCAGCCTCAGGTTTTTTTTTTTTTTTTTTTTTTAGAAATGCAAACACTTTAATTCACCTGCTTTACCAGCAACAAAGGTCCTCACACCATGTGTGATTAAGTACAAACCCCCAAAACGTATTTCCTTTCCAGATTCAGTTAGTTGTAGGAGAAGGAGAGGAGCAGTCTGGGAGAGACTTAACCAGGGAGGGAGGGAGAGGGGGAGGGAGCCAGTCCCTCCCTCTGATGCCTGGCATCCAGGGGGTGTCAGATGGTGATACAGGCCAGTGCCCGGTGATGGATGACTTTCTACAGGGAGAGGTGCAGGGGGGAGCCCGAGGGCTGGGGCACAGGGGGAAGGATTGAGTCTGTGTGCCCAGAAAGTGATTGGACAAGCTGAGGGACATCATCGAATTTATGTTTTAGACAAACATATTCTGGCTGTTGTGTGGAGATGGCCCAGAAGAGAAGGTAGCTGGAGGTGGGGGCAAGGGTGAGAGTCAGGGGCCTGCCTGGGGACAGGAGGGGAGCTTGACCCAGTGGAAACAGCTCACACTCGTGTGTGCTGTCTGGCCTGGTCAGACGCCACGATGTGATCTCACCTAAGCCTCACAATTACCCCATTACTATCACCATTTTGTTGTTAACAATAAGAAGAATTATTATGTGCTTGGTGTGTGTTGGACATGGTGTTAAGTGCTCTCCCTGGATTATCTCATTTAATCCTCGCCAAAGCCCTGTGAAGCTGCTAGCTCCAATTGACACACAAGGAAATTAAAACAGATCATAAAGCTAAAAGTGGCAGAGCTGGAATGCGTGTCCAGGCAGGCTGACTCCAGCGATGTGCCCCGAACCCCTATTCTATGTTGCCTCCCAAGTGAGAACAGTGAGGTGCACAGCAGCTTCCAGCTTGTGTCTCTGAGGTGTGGCAGTGCAGGGACTCTGCACAGAGTGTGGGGTTTGGTGAGAAGGGGTGGGTGTAGACCTGGCAGGACCTGGACAGAGACTGAAGGAGGCATTGGGGGGAGTCTAGGATGCCTCCCAGGTGCCTGGCTTTGCAGGAGCATGGATGACGCACTGTTCGAAGGTTGCTGCCAGCAGTGGAAGAAGAGCAGGTGTGGGGAGGAGGAGGAGGAGCAGGAGGAGGAGACAACGTATTTTGCGCCCAAGGCTGTGGGAGATGCAGTGGTGAGGCCCTGCTTCAGCTGGATAGAGCTCAGAAAAGAGGCTAAAGTTATCCCCATGTCAGGCCCCAGAAAGTTTGGGTGAAGTATGGGGCTAGTAAGCATAGAGCAGAGCTCACGGTCCTCCCTGGCCCCCCAAACCCGTCTAGGGCGTGCTTAGGGTCATAGCAGGGACCCTGTCATTTCCTTTGACACACAGGGCTCTGTGACACGGAAGATTCTGGCCAAGACCCTCATGCTGCCTTGCTCCTCTGGGCCCTTGCTGCCCCCAGTAGGAACAGGAGAAGCCGGCAGACCTGGCTGGGGCCTGGGGCCTGGGCTGGGAGCCCCCCAGTTTGGGCCAGTTGTGGATTAAGAGGGACAGTCTCTTTCTCCCTTCTGCTATTCAGAGGCCCCTTTGCAAGGCACTGCCGTGGCCTGGTAGCAAGCCTCCCCTCTGCGCTGACAGCCCGCACGCTCCATGAATGTGGTCTTGGTTGGGGATGACCTCTGGGATCAGCCAGAAGGCTCCAGTGACTCGGGAGGGGCCCCCAGGGGTCTCAGCTAAGGTAGAACTGCAGTGGAAGGGTGGGGGCTTCCTGAGGCTACTCAGACCCATCTCAGAGGGCAGCTCCCAGTGGGGATCGGAGAGCAGAGCTGCCTCCCAGGAGCCACGGCTTAGCCCAGCAAGGACCCTCTTGTCTGTCTGTGAGGCAGCTGGGTGGTTTCTCCTGGGTTCACCTGGACATGCGCTAGCGTATCCTCCAACTGCAGCCCCAAGGAGTGCAGACCCAGAGACCAGAACCAATTTTTTTTTTTTCAGACGGAGTCTTGCTCTGTCACCCAGTCTGGAATGCAGTGGTGCAATCTCGGCTCACTGCAACCTCCACCTCCTGGGTTCAAGCAATTCTTCTGCCTCAGCCTCCTAGTAGCTGGGATTACAGATGTGTGCCACCATGCCTGGCTAATTTTTGTGTTTTTTTTTAGTAGAGACTGGGTTTCACCATGTTGGGCGGGCTGGCCTTGAACTCCTGACCTCGTGATCTGCCTGCCTCAGCCCCCCAAAGTGCTGGGATTACAGGTGTGAGCCACTGTGCCTGGCCGAACCTGGTTTCTTGAGCGACTTTCTTAGTTGCCTTGGCCCTGGTTTGCTCAACTGTAAAATGGGGCTGGCAGCCAAGCCCTCCCTCCCCGGTTGCTCTGAGTATGAATTAACTGATGTGAGTGAAGTGCTTCGAGCAGGGCCTGATGCGTGATGTGTACTAGGACCCTTCCCCCTCACAGCTTGTCGCTGCTGCTGATGGCAGTGACTGCTGCTCCCTGCAGGCTGACCTCGGCACAGCAGAGGGGCAGGTGGTGGGCATGGCTGGCTCACCCTTTACCTGGCTTGGCAGTTTCCCCCACTGTCAACCATCACCACACAGGGGCTTGGCACTCTCCTGTCTCACCTCCAGAGTACCTATGGATGCTCCAAAGGGGCAGAACTTGGTGTTGTACTCACTTTTCATCCCTGGGAGGAATGTGGCCTCAGCTAGGCTAAGGGGTCCCCAGCTGAGGTGTGAACCTGAGGGGCCCAGACCCCCAGGCCTCTGGCAGTTATGAGCCCCGGGAGGCTGAGCCGAGACTGAGTCCTTGGTGCTCAGGACCTCTCCTCCTGCCCAGGTGACGGGGTTCGACAGCGTGGATGATGAGTCCAAGCACAGCGACCACATGTTTTCTGACAAGAGCCCGAGCCCGGATGTCTGGACCAGCGAGCAGAACCCACCCTACAGCTACTACCTGTACTACATGTATGCCAACATCATGGTGCTCAACAACCTCCGCAGGTGCGTGAGGCCTGCCCTCGCACACGCTTGGGTTCATGTGTTAGCATGTGCACACATGCACACACTCATGCATGTGATCCTTGTGTCCATGTGCACCTGAACCAACACGCGTGTCCATGTGCCCACATACCTCAAAACACACAACACTTTCCAGCCTGCTATATGAGGCGTGTCTCCACATGATCACACACATGCAAACATGCCCACCATAACACACATACCAGTACAGACATATGTCATGTACAGTATGCAATGCAGCCACAGTCCACACGTGTCTACACGTTTATATGTACACACACCAGTGCACACTCCGTGTGTACCTGTACATCCCTGAGATAACAGAAGCATAGGACATGCTATCACACACATGCATGTTCACTTACTGCCACACCAACAATATCCACATGTGCATATTTTCGTTCAGCAAATCACTGGCATGCGATAGGCACTACCCTGGGCACTGGACAAATAACAGGGAAAAAAACAGACTAAATCCATGCACGCCCTTACAGGCAGAGGTCTTACAGGCAGAGGCTCCCACCAATATGCACACAGACGAGGCACATTTGGCCAGGAGTTAGCTACCCAGGGCAGCAGGACACCAAGCCATTCCCTTCCCTACAAGTCTTGCATCCCACTTTCCCCTGCTGGGCCCTGGGGCCTCTCTAGCTCAGCCTAAACTGGTGCTAGTTGCTGGGTGTGGAGGTTTTGAATGGGGTCCTGACTGAAAGAAATGGCCTGGCAGGGTGGAGGCAGTCCTGGGCTGAGCTTTTGGAGATCGGGGCTCTGGTTCTGGCTTTGCCACTGACCTGTTCAGTGGCATGGAGCATAGACTTCACTCTCCGGGCCTTGGTTTGCTCATTTCCATAACACAGAGGTCAGACTCCATGGTTTCTCATGGCCTTCCCTGCCCTGGAGTTCTGCGAATGCGGGACACAAGGCCAGGAGAGGAAGACAGGAGAGTGGCTGGAGGGCACAGCAGGGTCCCTTTCTACCGCGAGGCCCACTCTCTGCCGGTAGAGGTGATGCTTCTTGCTTCTAAGGGGTCCTGGGGCCTGGGCCTCTGCATTTTAGGAGAGGTAGTTTCCAGGGTGCACTGGGTCAGCACAGCTGACCGTAGGTGGTCATTCCCCCTGGAGCTGACCCTGAGCTGAGGCTGCAGGCCCCAGGCAGAGCCAACTGGGGGGGCCTTCCTGATTCGGGGCCCCTTCTCTTACAGGGAGCGCGGCCTGAGCACGTTCCTCTTCCGGCCGCACTGTGGGGAGGCCGGCTCCATCACCCACCTGGTGTCTGCCTTCCTCACTGCTGACAACATTTCCCATGGGCTGCTCCTTAAGAAGGTAAACAGGCCACTCTCGGGAGTCTGCCCTGAGTGACTGCCCTGCCTTGGGCTTCTGGGAGGCTCGGCCAGTGAGGCCAGAAGGCTGGGCCCTCTTCTGGGCTGGGATGTCTGTCCTTATCTTGGTTTTATTTTTAATTATGAGAGTAATGTAATCAAACTCATTGCAATTTCGATTTTCCAGAAACTGGAGAAATGAAAAAAAGCCAGCCCTCATTGCTATTACTTTAATAGAAATAGCCATTATTAGCTTTTTAGTATATCTAATTTCCATCTTTTATCCACAGCATATTTTTAATGTGTTTATTATCATAATGAACACAGAATTTAGTTCCTGCCTTGTCCCTTATTGTTGTACGACAAGCATTTTTTGACGCTGCAACATAATGTCTATCTCACAGAGTTACAGCTTTCCCCTCAAGAAGCCTTTCGCTAAGCCCTATGCTTTTCCTTCCAAAGGCTGTTGTAGGATGAAGGGTCTGCCACTTTATCTGTAATTGACTCAACCAGTCCACACTAGTTGGACAGAGTCCATCCACCTTTTCACTGGTGTACCCTTGAGCTCTGTGCATGCAGTCTTCTCCATATTTTGGATCACTTTCCACTGGCACGATGTTTGATCAAAATGCTCCCTTTCCCTGATGCCGGTGAGGTGTAACCATGGGTCACGTGTTTGGGTAGGGTGGGTGCTACGGTAGAACACCACTCTGTCCTGGGCAGGTCCGCCCTTCCCATCCCTCCAGGGATCATCTCCCGGGAGCTGGAGTGTTTATAGTCTCAGCCTGGCTGTTTGCAGTCAAAGCAACAAAACAACTAAAGTGGGGCATCTTCTAGACTAGGTCCATGCCTAGAGGCAAGGAGCTGAAGGTATAGGCTGGAGTGGGCTGCCCTTCCTGCCCTGAGCCTTGCCTCCAGTTTGGAGCAAGAGTGAGCGCTTCCAAAAATAGGTAGAGGCACCAGGGAGGGCTGGCATGCAATGCAGGAACGAGATGAACAGTGGGGAAGAGGGAGAGTGGGTCTGAGTGTCCTTGCTTCCAGGAACTCGGGTTGAGGACTTGGGCAGACACTGTTCAGACCCCTGGTTTCCACTGGTGAATGCTTCTTCCCTCCCTTTCTCCCTTCCCTTTTCCCTTCTCCCCTCTCTGGCACTTGTCACATGAGTTTGGTGGTTCTTTTGCAGAGTCCGGTATTGCAGTATCTCTACTACCTTGCTCAGATCCCCATTGCTATGTCTCCTCTTAGCAATAACAGTTTGTTCCTCGAATATTCCAAGAACCCTCTGAGGGAATTCCTGCACAAGGGACTGCACGTTTCTCTTTCCACCGATGACCCTATGCAGTTCCACTACACAAAGGTGAGGACTTTGGGGTGAGGACAGTAGTGCCTCAGTAGGCACCAGTCCTAGCCTGTCTTCCCATTTTAGGGACCCGAACCCTTGGCTCAGTTCTGCTTTTGGGGTGGGGCTGGTGGCCCAGTGAAGGCAAAAAGGAAGCCACTGTTGGGGGAAAATTTTGCCTTCCAGGAGCCCTTTCTTTGGGGTTCTTGAACCCTCAAAGGCACAATTTAGTATCTTTGCCTTCCTCTATTTTTCCTTTCTTTGACATTTGTGAGCTCTGTGACCTTGGTAAAGTTATTAGACCTCTGGATCAAGTTTCTCTTCATCTGTAAAATGGAGATAAAATTGTCTCTATCCCTACCCTGTGAGGATTCATGAAGATAATGAATCAAAGGATTTAATATAGTGTTTGCATATATTCAAAATAGTTGCTACCTTTTAAGTCAATGCTATTATAATTTCTACACTTTGGGTCTCTGGGAAAAGAAAAGAGGAAGGTAAAAGTGGTGTCATGCATAGGTGCCAGCCGCAAGTGCACCCAGCATGTTTTGATAGTGTTGACAAGACCAGCCATTGCTTAACAAAAACAGAAGCACCAGAGTCTTTCAGGACAGAGGTTCTCCAACCTCTTGGTCTCTAGACCCCTTTATACTCTTAAGAATTGAAGCTTTCAAAGACCTGTTGTTTATGTGGGTTATATCTACTGATATTTACCATGTTAGAAATGAATAAGAAATTTAAAAATATTTATTATCTCATTTAAAAACCACATCAATAAACCAATGAAATGTTACATAATAACAATTTTTTTTTCCTGAAAAGTAAGTTTCCCCTGCCTTTGTGTTGCATTTTTAAGCCTCTTTAATGTCTTAATGGAAGTCAGCAGGACTCTCCTAGCCACTTTTGCATTCAATTTGTTTTTAATCAAAATATGTAAAAATAGAAATCTTGCCTCATGAAAATACATAATTGGAAAAGAGAAGACCTTTCAAAAAGTCTTAGGACCCTCAGGGATCCTTGACCTGTACTTCGAGAACCATTGCTGTAGGCTACAGCGGCAGTGGGGCGGGGAAGGGGTCACAGAGGGTTTGTGATGAATAGACACTTCACATCCCAGAAGGGAAGCAAAACCACAGCTCAAACCCAGATCCTTCTGGGATTACACCATTTTACCGCTTATCCTATGATCACTTCTCTCTCTTTTTTTTTTTTTTGATGTTCTATCTCTGCTTTTAGTACTTTACTCTATGTATCTATCTATCTATCTATCTATCTATCTATCTATCTATCTATCTATCTATCTATCTATCTATGGCAAACTTGAGAAAATAGTGTGTTAGAAAGAAAAGCTAGAGGGCAAGTGCTAAAAGTGGTATGACTAGAGGCTTGTCACAGGACAGCAGAGACTGCCATCCCTGATGACTGGCACAGGGCTTCAACATGAGCTCTCAGTGCTGGTCAATGAACAAATGTGGAGGCGTGAGTTCAGATTTCTCTTTGACAACCCATGATTTCACAGAAGAAAAGATCTTAGGTGTTGAAGGTGTGATGTTTGATGATCCAGGTGTCATTCGGTGAGGAAAAGTTAAACCTGCAGTGTCTGATGTTGTTAGCTTCGGACATGTGTGAACGATTGACATGGAAATCCTCCTGTCTAATCCACATGCTTTGTTGGGGGGTCTAGGAAGCACTTATGGAAGAATATGCCATTGCAGCTCAAGTGTGGAAGCTGAGCACCTGCGACCTGTGTGAGATTGCCAGGAACAGCGTGCTGCAGAGCGGCCTCTCGCATCAGGTATGGAGTGTGACGGTGCTGCCTGTGTCCCTCCTGGGAAGGCTGCCTGCTGTGTGCCAGGAGCCTTCCAGGCACTGGGGATCTGTGAAGAACACAGCAGGCAGGGCCTCTGAGACACTCAGGCACAGGGAGAGAAAACGTGGCAGCCTCCTGCGTTTTCATAGTTGCTTCCTCACCCTTCTCAGACCTCGACGCCTCCTTGGAGAGGCCTTCCCTGATTGCCCGTTCTAAAGTAGTCACACACTTGCTATTATTCTCTATCCCCTTAATCTGTTTTTCTCCGTACCATTTATTCCTGCAGATATTTAGTTATGTGTTTTTCTGTCTTTCCCTCTAGAATGTAAGCTCTGTGAGGGCAGAAGCTTGTTCAGAATTATATCCCTGAGCCCTAGATAGTCCCTGGCACATAGCAGGCATTCAATATTTCTTGAATAGATGAACAGTATCTAGACTGAATAAAAATCTAGACTATGGGACCTAGACATCGTCATTTTTAAAAAAGCCCCGTAAGTAATTCTGATGTGGAGCTAGCACTGAGACCCATGTTCTGATGTATCTTAGGTCCCCCGACACCTCCCTGGGTGATGTCACTGGTTAGGGAGAGGTTGCATTAGGGCCTGTGCTTGTCAGATGATGATGCAGCAGAGTTAAAGGCTTAAGATTCTTTTCATGTGCAGTGTGGTGCCTTGGATTGGCCCTCCCCAGAAACATTGTCTGTCCTTGTCAGCTCTCAGGAGGGACTTCTTTTTTTTTTTTTGAGACGGAGTCTCACTCTGTCACCCAGGCTGGAGTGCAGTGGTGCGATCTCGGCTCACTGCAAGCTCCGCCTCCCGGGTTCACGCCATTCTCCTGCCTCAGCCTCCCGAGTAGCTGGGACTACAGGCGCCCGCTTCCATGCTCAGCTGATTTTTTGTATTTTTTGTAGAGATGGGGTTTCACCATGTTAGCCAGGATGGTCTTAATCTCCCGACCTCGTGATCTGCCTGCCTCAGCCTCCCAAAGTGTTGGGATTACAGGTGTGAGCCACCACGTCCAGCCAGGAGGGACTTCTTAATTAGTCTTACCTCCTTCCCCTTGCCTTTCCCATCCCCAGCAGCTGCTGCAGACCTTATCTTTCCTCTCTGATCAAGGAAAGCACAGCCAGGAATGAAGGGTTGTCTGAGGATGACTGAGGTTGTCAGGGTGACATCCTTGAGGACACAGAGGCCAGAAGGAATTTTATGAGTTCTGTGGGGATAAGATGTCCTGACTAAAGATCTGCTTCAGGGGGACTAGTCTGATTTGCTGTGACTGATGTCAAAGCTGCCTACATGGCTATAGAAAGTGAATCAAAAGTACATCGTTTCATTTGTATTTCTCTTGTTACACAGGAAAAGCAAAAGTTTCTGGGACAAAATTATTATAAAGAAGGACCTGAAGGAAATGATATTCGAAAGACAAATGTGGCTCAGATCCGGATGGCATTCCGATATGAGACCTTATGCAATGAGCTCAGCTTCCTGTCTGATGCTATGAAATCGGAAGAGATCACTGCCTTGACCAAATAGGTCCAGCATTTGACATGCATTTTAACTTTTTGGTTCAATTTCAAGTCTGCTGTGGCTAATAGTGGTCAAGATTCTAAACTAGGACTTTCCTCTGTTAAGAGGATGCCTCTGAAGAAATTTTAAACTGGTGATTTTGGTGGCACTGCTCACTTTAAGATTTAACATGCTCACTTGTATTTCTGAGTAACAAGATGGTGACTTCTCCTTGGGGATCTGGGAGCTGAGCACTTGTCTATACTTGTTCCCAATTTTCCAATTATTTCTCTTGAAACTGCCAGTGCCTGAACTGTTGGGGCCAGGATTTTCCATGGTCAGATGCCAAGTAACATGAGGTCTGTGAGGTTTTCTGCCATACTTTTCTCCATTGGCCCAAGTAGGCTTATTGGTAGTTGTTCATTTCAGCCTCTGGATGGCTGGCTGCCTTAAACACAATCAGTTTCAAAGCTCCATTTCATAAAAGGGCTACTTTGAGGGAGTTAAGATGGAAGACTTCCTTCTTGATAATTTCTGTTTTTAGTGAATTTCTTAAACCGTTTTATTTAGCCCTCTTCCCCCATTTCTAGTTGGAAGCCAAATGTACTCATGAAAACAGCCACTCCTATTCTTTTTTTTTTTTGAGTTGAAGTCTCGCTCTGTTGCCCAGGCTGGAGTGCAGTGGCGTGGTCTTGGCTCACTGCAAGCTCCGCCTCCTGGGTTCACGCCATTCTCCTGCCTCAGCCTCCCGAGTAGCTGGGACTACAGGCGCCCGCCACCACGCCTGGCTAATTTTTTGTATTTTTAGTAGAGATGGGGTTTCACCGTGTTAGCCAAGATGGTCTCGATCTCCTGACCTCATGATCTGCCCACCTTGGCCTCCCAAAGCAGCCACTCCTATTCTGAGTCTTGGTTTCTTCACCTAGAAAGTGAGGGTTTGGACTAGACAAGTGGCTTTCAGGGTGTTCTGTGAATCCCCTCATGAATACTTTAGGGTGGGGGACGGAAGGGAGTAAGTGATGCTCAGGGGCTGTCAAACTGACTCTGGTTCATCAGTTTCACACTGGGACTGCTACATAATACTTTTGTCTGAATGAAGAACTTCAAAAAGCACAGGACTGGATGACCTCTGTTCCTTTCGGCTCTAATATGCTACAACTGTAGGCCAATTATCACTTTACCAGTTAAGAGTTAGGCCAGACAAGTGAAATTTAACTGAAGGTCACACAGCTATTAAGTAATAGGCCTACAACTGGATTTTCTTATTCCAAATCCTGTCTTTTCCCCACTATTCCATTAGACCCCACAAATGTTAGTTGTGTGTGTGTGCGTGTGTTTTTTTTAAATCACTGTAACCGGGTACATTTTTTTAAGGCAAAATTTCTCCCTTACCTACTATGATGACTTCAGAAGATACAATGGTCCCAGGGGCCAGGTAGAAAGCATTTTAAAGACCAATCTGAATTAAGCTTTATCAATGTGCTCTTCATCTGTGTTACTAGTGCCTGGTATGTAGTAGGTGCTCAATAAATGCATCTTGAATGACTAAGTGAATTTCTTTTGGCAACCTTTTAAGGACATGTGCTCTTAGTACCCAAGAGGCTGCTCAAGGACCTTCCTATGTATTTCTGTGGTCAAATTCAGACTACAGGAGGTCTTTTTGAATCATTATATTTAGAAGAACCCGATTTCTGCCTGTGAACTTATCTGACTTTAGACTGTCTCATCTTGTGACTTTACAATGCCTGGTCAATTCAGCATATGGAACTACAAATGCAGTCTTTTTATTTGGCAGATATATATGCTATCTTGCAGCTAATTATGAAATTGAGTGAAAATCCATTGTTATCTTAGGGATTAGTTGTGAAAAGCCCCTATTTATATACATTTGCCCTAACATAGGAAGTATTGTGTAGTTTCTCATTGTCATTTTATCTGTATCAAGTATCTTTTAATTGTTAAATAAAGTCTGCTAGGACTGTGGCTTAATAATTTAAAACTAAAGATAATCATATTTAAAGCATATGTTAAAGTTTTTTTACTCTTAAGATTGGGCACCATGAAAAGCTATCAATAATAATAGCTAATTTATCTTTTACTAAGACTCAGACATGAATGACATTCACTAGGAAAACTCAAAATTTTCAAACTGAAGCTCACTAGACCTGGAAGATAAATCTTTTATTATCTTCTCTAACTTCTACCCTGTTATAGTTCATGAGCAAACTACACACGTTCATTTCCGTTTCCCGGGATATTATTTTAGTCTGTCCAGCTAACACCATGTTGGATTTTACCTGTCCTGCAAGCTTTTCCGACATCTTTTCTATAGCACTTTGTGCTTTTATTACATTGTTATACTTAATTGGCCTTTTGGGGGACAAATCCCTACTTTCCTTTGTGTTTGCAATTGGAATAAAAGGTAATTAATAGCATACTGGCTCAGGTTTCGAGAGGAACAGTTTTTGAGGCAGTTTTCCCTTCCTTATCCTTAAGGGCTCAAGTTCCCTTTATGTGTTACTTCAAATTGTACCGTTGAAACGATCGCCATCATTGCTCTTTGCCTCATGGAAACAAATCACAGTTCCTGGGTTGATATTTCTCATGGCCTCTTGGATTAAAAAAGAGCTGAAAGCACATTTCTCCTGCCTTCTCTTTACTTCTGAGTGTTGGTGAAACAATATTCTTCATTTCCTGGGTTTGAGACATGACTGAAGGTGATATACCCAAATACTCTCTGCCTAAACTATGACCGTTATAAAGAACAAGTGTAACTAATTCCAGTAAAAGGAATACTAACCAGATAAACATAGTTCCTTGGAAATCTTTGCAATTAGTAAGGTAGAAGATGACAGAGCTGCAAGAGTGTCAAAACCTATCTCTGCAAAGGCTTTTATGTCTTTTGACAGTAAAATGTGCATTTCTCCACAGTATGATGATACAGTCAATTTAACTACCAACTGCCACTCATTCTTATGTCTTTGCACTTTTCAGCACTGAGATTCTACGATGTTTCTCTAATTACATTCTTATATTTTGTAAACAATTTTACATGGTAAACAAACTACAATAGGGTTGAGCATTTTATTTTTACTGTCTGTTGGGGTAGGGGTCCACAACCCCTGGGCTGTGGACAGTACTGGTCTGCTGCCTGTTAGGAACCAGGCTGCACAGCAGGAGTTGAGCCGCAGGCGAGTGAGCATTACCGCCTGAGCTCCACCTGCTGCCAGATCAGCAGCGCTATCAGATTCTCAAGGAGCGTGAACTCTGTTGTGAACTGCACATACAAGGGATCTAGGTTGCATGCACCTTATGAGACTCTAATGCCTGATGATCTGAGGTGGAACAGTTTCATCCCGAAACTATTCCCACCCCACCCCTGGTCTGTGGAAAAATGGTCTTCCATGAATGCAGTCCCTGGGGCCAAAAAGGTTGAGGACCACTATGGGAGGTGAAAAGACATAAGATTGAGTCTGTTGTCAGCTGCTTATGTTTATATTATATTGTCATTGCGTGGCCCAGCATAAATGTGAGTGACCTGTTGACTTCCCTAATCTCCAAGTAGTTTTCTTATTCCTGGACTTGACTTCAGACAATAAAAGTTAAAATGGAAATTCTTTAGACTATCTTTTAATACACTCAACTTCCCAATGTTAAAAATCACCAAATCAAAAGATATTTTCAAGCAGCCTTTTCTCCCAGATATATATTAGATATAAGGAAATCAAGTCCATTTTGAAATGAATTTTAAAACAGCACACAAACATTACAAGCCCCCAGCACACAATATAAAATAGTTCTCTACGGAATATAAACATTTAGTATATTAGAATGTGAAATTACGTAAGAAAAGAATCTCTTCAATTAGCTAAAATTACTTGCGAAAGATTATTTATTGCACAATTTATCAGTGGGTACTAAGAATAACACAGATACTATTATTCTCAACCTCTAAATTCAGTACATAGTAAAATTCATTTTCTCAAACTAAGGTTCTATACATAATCAGAGTAAACCCTGTTATTGAGTTAGGATAGGGAAAACAAATTCCTTGAGTTCATGAAACCACTTCACAAATCCTAGAAGGCACACATTATATTTCCTATCATGGTAAGTACATTTAAGTACTTCATATTTAAAAAAGACAAAGCTGTACAGAATACAAAAAGTGTACATTTCATCCATTAAACAAATTTACAACTTCTACGATTAGTTATTACAGTAGAACTGACCTAACATTCACATCTAAATAATTATCACCCAGTTTAATAGAGCGAACAAAGAGCTGTGCTCATTTATTTGCTAAGGCTATAATAACATTTTATATTCACAGTAGATCAGTAAGTGTCTTGGAGCTCACATTGTAAAATAAAAAGGTTTGGGCCCTATTGAGTCACTGGGCTCAATGTTAAATAATTCCTTGAAAGGTGAAGGATTCTGGGGGATAAAATCATTGGCTATCCTTGGAAAGATCCAAAACTCTGTAAGGTAACTTTGTTCACTTCCCAGAAACATTTTAAAATTATGCAAACTGAATTAAACTCAGCAAGTCTAATCTAAAAGGACAATTTAAAATCTTAGAGCTGGAAAAGGTTTCAGTGGATCATCTATCCCAAGGTTTTCAAAATACGTTCCATGGAATACTAAGAATCTATGGAGGAGATACAGGATTCTGCACATTTGACTTGAATTTAATTAAATTTTTTTTAAAAAAAACAACTCCCACTATATGTGTTACTCACCAAATTCAAACATGCTGGATATCACCAATGCATTAATATGTTTTTATTCATTGACTTAATCACATTTATAGTATATAAAGTTTATACAATAAATAAGGACATTTATATTAATTTGACTTTTATATAGTGGGGTGCAGGGTATGTGTGTATGCACGTGTGTTTAAGGGTTCTGTAAGATTTTCCTTGAAAAAGTTTTTGCTGCTGAAATAGTGTGAAAACCACAAATAAAGTCTCAGTTTCTAAAGTAGGAACCTACAAACAAGAGTAAGAGACTTTCTCAAGGTCGCACAACCACCAAGTGCATTGCCAGGTTGATATGATGGAGCCCCTGGTACTCCGCTTGCATAAACCTCCACGGGGAGTAGTTAGCTATTTGGTATTTAGCTGTCCCATTATGAATGTCAATGGATTAGTCTTCAGTATTTTGGGGGGCAAAATCAAGCTACCTCTGGCCAGATGTTTTTCCTTGAAATTAATTTTATTTGCTTGCCTATTAAAATCCTATTATCCAGAAATTCTGTCATCAATAAGTGGCAACTTAAATTGTGTACCCTGGTTTAGGAAAATAGTAATATTTGCAACTTATGAATAAGTCAAAAAATTATATGGAATGTTAAATTTTAAAGGAGACAGGCCCTTGCTTTATTACATGCTGAAATGTTAATTTTAGAAATTTTAGTTCATAAGCAAAAAAAATGGTTGAGGTGCGACTGAAGATCACAATTCCATTATTACTATATTCTATCAGAATATTTTAATGGAAAGAGTATTTCAATGGAAGTACTGTGAAACAGTAAGAATGCCAAATTATCTTCTAATTTTCATAAGTATTTTATGTATATATGGTAAAAAAGCCTCACTCTATTTTCATGTCTTTTTTTTTTTTGAGACGGAGTCTTGTTCTGTCTCCCAGGCTGGAGTACAGTGGTGTGACCTCAGCTCACTGCAACCTCCACCTCCTGGGTTCAAGTGATTCTCCTGCCTCAGCGTCCCGAGTAGCTGAGATTACAGGCGCCTGCCACCACGATTTTTGTATTTTAGTAGAGCTAAATTTTTGTTATTTTAGTAGAGACAGGGTTTCGCCATGTTGGCCAGGTTGGTCTCAAACTCCTAACCTCAAATGATCCGCCCACCTTGGCCTCCCAAAGTGCTGGGATTACAGGTGTGAACCACTGCACTGGCCTCTTGTCTCTTAATCTAAGAAATTTGAGGACTCTGAAATCTCAGAAAGATGTTTTCAAGTTAAGGAAATAAAAGCACCATAAACCAATATTAAATGACTTATAATAATTTAGAAATATAAAATTTAGTATTTGTGATACAGAAGAATTTCCTTTTGAAACTCCAAGATGTGTGAGCATTATCAAAGCCATTTAGAACAGTTACCCAGCTGTGGGAAAGCACTTCCAGAACAGCCAAGAAAATTTCCCAGGAGAAATCCATTTGCAAAGGAAAGTCACACCCAACTTTGTAGACCTCACTCAAATTATACAGTATGGCAAAAACAAACAAACAAATCTTTAAGCACAGTAGTTCCAAAACACACTGTTAAAGTTATGAAATAATTGTGGATCATTTCAAGTAAAAATTATTAAAGGAGCAATAATTAACCACAAGGGGGCATATATACTCCTTAGATTCCAGCAGAAAGACTAGTTTTAAGTAGTAACATGCACTTTGAAGTATTCTACATTTTCAGTCACTTAAAATTTTCTCTCTCCGATGGCTACAACTTTTTAATATTTGAGGTTTATTTTATATCTAAGTAAAAAGATTCCAGAATACTCCTGCCCTGCAAAACAGTAGTGTTTCAGAAGCCTCTGGAAGTGCTGCTGTTACCTTTAGCAAAGAATTCAAGAGCTATTAGTTGTAATAATACAAATTTGAACAGATGAATAACAGGAAAATATGGTCTAAAACAGTAGCAAATTTTAGTACCACAAATGGAAGACATGGGAAGTTTATTTTTAAAAGGGGCACAAATGATCAGAATAGCAAAAATAAAAGAGTGGGCAAAATGGATTTTTTCTGTGTCTGTGCCATAACCCTGCATTCTTCCCCCATGACCAAATATTTGTAGCGCACAATAGCAACAGAAGACTTTCACTCCAAGGTCATGGCCTGTGGGGCTGGCCTGCCTCATCAGCCATGTTAAGAATATAGTTAGCCATATCATCTTCAGTAGGTGCATCTGATACCACCCAAGATTCATTTGCTCCAGTCATCTGTAGGCGACAAATAGGGCAATTCCTGTGTCGATCACTCCTATTAGAGAAGTCAAAACAAGAACAGTTTGCTTTTTCTTCTTTTTTAAAAACAGGATTTTATTTAAACTAATACATGCACATGGCTTTAAAAAAGGAAATAGCATAGAAGTATACAGTGAAAAATAAATCTCTCCCTCCTATCTCAATCTTCAATTCTCTTTCCCAGGGGCAACCACAGTTACCAGTTTCTTATATATTCCTCTAGAGATAGACTAAGCTTGATTAAGCTTTATGTGTACACACAAGCATGCACGTACACAGACATCACTGCTCCACTTGTCAATATATCTTATAGACTATTACGTATCAGCACCTGTTAGAGCTGTTTATTCTTTTTAACATACACTGTATCGCTATGCCATAATTTGTTTAACTAGTCTCTTGCAGAAGGACATTTAGGTTTTTTTTTTTCCGTCTTTTGTTGCTACCAACAATGCAGCAATTCACATTCCCATACCTAAACAGGTAAAGTTTTCCTTTATAATAAAAATTCCTTCTGAGTCCTAAGAGGAAATTCCCTCCTACCAATGGAAGAGTTGGTCAAAGTGTGAAGTATAAATGTTTATTTGTGATTATTTAAATGGAAGCCATTACTCTAGGAATAACTTCTGGGCAGTGGCAGGGGAATAT